AGGGGGGTTTTCCTTCAGGCATTCCACCAACCAATTCAAGGGGTTGGGAGGCAATGGCATGGCCCTTCCTTAGGCATGGACCGACTGGGGCCGGCTTGGTTCACCCGCCTAGAAGTGGTGCCCCTCCCAAAGCCCGCTGCGTCAGAGCTTGCTGATACGCCGCCGCGCCGGGCTGAGGTGGCAAGTACGCAGGGTGCGGCTGCGGCGCGAACCCCTGTGCGCATGCTGTGCGAATCCCGCCTGCGCTTGGTGGACCGCGCCTTATGATGTGCCTGCAGAGCGAAGCAGCGCGTCGGTGGGCGGTCAGGGCGCGGTTAGGTAGGGGAAAGGGCTGAGCGAGGCTAGATTGAAGTCGGAGCTACACATATGTGGAGTCAGGGCCGAACAGCCACCTGCCACTGCGCATGTTGCCACTGCGCAGCTTGCTGGTAGTATGCAGCGGCGTGTGCCATCTCGGCCGATTGTTGCGCTGGCAGCGGGACCGCGCAAGGCAGATCGGCGGGCGGCACGGAGGATTGCGGCGGCAGTGGGACAGCACAAGGCAGATCGGCGCGCGGCACAGACGGCTGCGGCAACGGGATAGCGTGAGGTAGCGCGGCGGGCTGCGGCGGTGGCAAAACGGCGGGCGGAAGTGGGCGGGGCTGAGCCGCGTCATCGTCGATCGGCGGCAGGAGAGGATCTCTGCCTGGAAGTTCTGTCTCGCGTCAGCCGTTCGAGCGACCGCCATTCGCTCCCAGTACGCACGAGGCGGCTCGGCGGAGCTGGACGCCGCCCTGCCGACACCCTGACTCCGGCGTGTTCAAGTCCGCAGGTGCGCACCGCGTCGCACAGGGCGTGCGCGCGGGCATCGTGTGGATCAACGCGCGCCACCGCAACGACCCGAGCTCACCGTGGGGCGGTTTCGGCCACTCGGGCGTCGGACGCGAGAACGGGTGGGAGTTGTCTGACCAGACCGTTTTGAGTAACCGGGCAAGCCGCCGGTGGCATCTCTTTCCACCCAAGAAGCCCGTTTGGAGGGATGGGCGGCAGAGTGTGCGGGCGGTGAAGTGCTAGTCCTCTCATCAATTTAGAACGAAACGCCCCTCCCTCCCTTCTTCCCTCTATCCCTTTTGCTCTCTAACCTAGACACAGACAGACTGTTCACCAACCAATCCTCTACCCCTCCCTCTCTCCCCATCCTAGACTCCCTCCACGCGTCCGATCTGGCCAGCCTGGCAAACAGGCTCCTGCGGCAAACATACTCGCGCGGGAGCATTTCACTCTAGCTGAGGGGCCGCTCGCTAAACGCTCGCCGAGCTCCATGCTGTGCAACACCACCTCCTCACTAATCGTCAGGGGCGCGGAGAGCGCAGTGCACTGCGGTGAGGCTGCGCAGCGGGGGCTCGCCCCCTGCACCGCGCTCAGCGGCGCAGGGGAGGGCGGTCGGTGGCGGCGGCGGCGAGGCGCGAGGCGGTGGCGGCGGTGGTGCGGGCGGCGGGATGACAGGGGAGGCGGCGGGATTGACAGGGGAGGCGGCGGCCACGAGCGGAGCGGCGCGAGAAGGGGGGGGGGCGGCGGCGAGGCGCCGGTGAGCGAGGCGCCCGCGCCACATAGAGTATCAGAGGGACGCGCCGCTGCGAGATGGAGGGCGGCGGTGACGGAGGCGAGGCGCGAGGCGGCGGCGGCGGCGGCGGCGGCGGCGCCGGCGAGAACGGCGGCACCGAGTCTCGGTGAGCGCCGGCGGGAGGAGGAGCAGCGGCGGCGCTCGCTCGCTGTTGACGGGATTGCTTTTGAGCCTGGGAGCCCATGCCACTGCGACCGGCGTGCCCGGGAACGGACATCCCCCACATTCCCCCTCTCTCTTTTTAGGGCAATCTTCTCCTATTCCCCTCCCCAAATCCAATTTTCTTGGCGCCTGCTATCCAATTCCTCACACCC